GCGAGGAATATATCGGGGAAACTGGTAGACCACTTTGTGTCCGCATAAATCCGTCTAAACACTCCTTTAGGTACGGATAAGGCACAGAAGCGCAACGGCGATGATTTTGAAGTGAATGTGCGGATCCTAGCGCAGGAATCAAAAACATCAATGCGCAAAACTCTTGAGGCGTTTTGGAAAAACTTCAAAAATCCAAAGATGAACCGCAAAGACGAATGCCTCACTATCACGCGTGACCTGGTGCCATGTTTCGAAATGATATTTTGACCCCGGGGTGTGTCTTGCTCGCGACCCCACGTGAACTACGTGTGGGCCAGTCCCACTCGTAACATCACGGTAAGTGGCTGTTCAATATGGCGTCTGTTTGAAAATTTGATCTTCATTAATACTTTAACCTTTCTTTTCCACCGAATAATAAGATATTCTAATATAAAATACGTCTAGAGCCTGAGGAAGGCGAACTCGCCGAAATGTCAGCCATCGACCAATGACATCAAAAACAAGGACAACGACAGCGAAGACCTGCACAAACCTCGCGTCAGCTTAAGAAGATCAGTTTATAAGATTACATAAATAAATTTATCACTGGACGTTTTAACGCCAAGATTGGACTAAGAAGAACTTCTGAAAAACGTTACACTGTTACCTACGGATTAGAATGGAACTAGCAGGGTGAGCGGGTGTCTGAGTTTATCGTGACGACCAAGAACATCCACGCTAACTCGCAACTCCAAAAGCCCCACTCTCAGCTCCGAAAATGGGAGTCTTCCAATGGAGAGTACCATAACGACGTAGACGACATAATAGTAAATAGAAGGTTTTGTCTAACCGACGTCGCTCTTGTTACAAATTTCTACGTGGGATCCGACCATCGCCTCCTTAGTGCAAGATTCTATTTCTCGCGAAAAGGAGAAAAAGCCGCTAAATTCGAAAACCGAAGTCCCAGAACCACCATAAGTTGGAACTTATTCAATTCATTAATCGGCTGTTAGGAAGATGCCGCTGTCGATAACATCGACGAAAAATACGATCGGCTCATTCAACATCTTCACGTTAGCGCTATGAAAGCTAAGTGTTCGAAAGTCACCAAGAGACGTCTGTCTCCAGAAACACTCGAGCTGATAGGCCATTGTGGAATCAGACGAGCTGGAGGCAACCGCTAAATAACGTCCAGACGTGCAAAACAATGAAGACGGGCTATAGAAGAAGATCTTAAAGAGTGAAGAGCAGCAATAATGGTCGAGGCTACAGAGGTCGGAAAAAGCATTCACAAAGTCCACCGACGCTTCGCCAATTACGAGACCAAAATGCTTGCACTCCGGCGCCCAGACGGAACAGTTACAGTGCCCAGAAAGGCATTAGAGAAAATCATTCACGAATACTACTCAGATCTCTTTGATAGCCACGTCCACCTTCCGTCATATGAAATAAAGAAGGATGGATATGTTGTACCACCAGTTCTCTCTTCCAATGTCCGACATGCCGTTTCATCGGTGAAAAATCGAACTGCAGCCGGTCCGTACAGGATAGGATCTGGACACCTGAATAACCTTCCACCAGCCCTCGTAAACTCACTGGTTCGGCTTTTCACACGTTACCTGTCCGAATGCAAGGTCGATAATCAATGGTAAACCAGCAAAATCGTGCTATTGTTCAAGAACGGTGACCTGCACGATATTGGCAACTATCGCCCAATTTGCTTGCTGTCTGCCGTATCAAACATTAGAATCTTTCACTCTAGCCATGCTAAACAGGATTGACAGAACACTGGACGAAAGGCAGCCATGTGAGGAAACAGGCTTTCGAAAAGGATTTAGTACACATCCGCGCAAAAACGAGACTCATTGAAGTATCGCGAGAGTACAAAAGACCGCTCTGTCTCACTTTCATGGATTTAAAGAAGGTCTTCAACTCAACAGAGATAGAGGCAGTCATGGAAGCCCTTGATAGTCAAGGAGTCTGTACTCAGTACATAAAGATTCTCCGTGAGTTTTCCAAATCTTCGCAACGAAGATGTCACCATTCTACAACGATATTACGCCAAAATTATATACCGCCACTTACCAGAACGTCATGCGAACATTGGAGTGGGATAATATGGGAATAAAAATCATTGGTCAACAGTTACACTATCTTCGCTTTGCTGATGATATCGTCCTTTTAATACCAAACATTAGCCAAGCACAACGCATGCTTGCCGACTTTGATAGAGCCTGTGGAAAGATTGGTCTTCGATTAAATCTCATAAAAACGATGTTCATGAGGAACGAATTGGTTTCTTTTGTTCTATTCACGCTCAACGGAGCGAAAATCTCCGAATTCTCCAGTTATGTCAATCTAGGTCGGAAACTCAAAATGTTGAAAGACCTAGCACCGAAGTTGAGCAGAAAAAACGAGCGGCTTTGGGAACTTTCAAGAGCATCGAGGATGTAGTGAGGGAAACAAAGAACACCCGAATTCCTGCCCTAACGTTGGCGTCAGAAACTTGGCCGCTGCGTAAGCAGAATGTAATATCACTCAGCGTTATTGAACGCGCAGTCGAAAGATCGATGCTAGGAGCATCCGGTTTCACACAAGTAAGAAAAGGGATCCGAAGCTCCGACCTACGTCAACGATCAAAAGTCAAAGATGCCGTTCTGGATGCCAAACAGTCAAAGGTAAGGTGGACCAGACAAGTAATGCCTGTGAATGACAACCGATGGGCAAGGGCCGTTAGTGACTGGATTCCTCGGGGTGTCAGACGTACTGCAGCGAGACCACCGACCTGATGGTCAGAGTTCTTCATGAAGAGCCTAGAAGAAAAATGTGATGCACAACGAGTTCCTAGAGCGAGCAGAACCCACTGGGCAACTCTCGCACGCAACGGGGAAAAATGGATGATTTACTGGCGCCCGTTTGAGTCACTCGATGGTTGACGGGACTACAGGTGGTATAGGTGATACAGTACAATTATTATTTATTGCGTTATTATCATTCGTTGTTAGTTTACTATTAATTTGTTATTAATTACAATTCTTTTGTTATTCCTTATTTCTAGTATGGCTGTCACTTGTGCTGCTATTATTGTAATTATTACTAACGATATAATCATCATTGATTTTGTTCTTATGGATGTTTGTTTTGCAGTGCACACGAGCATTAGAATATCGGGGCATGTTTATCTTACAGAAGGCTAACTGGTTGTAATCACAATCGTAGTGGGCGGATTGATTCCCGAGAAACTTCGTACCGTGTGTTCGTTGTTCCGAGTAGCCAACTGCGATTCCTATGGAGAGCCACTTGATGTCGGACTTGAGTGATTCTTTCCCATTTGATCTGTAGTAAAAGAAACATCTTTTCACTACTATCAGTTCTAGGAATTCTGCAGGGTGGCGAGGTATTGGAATGCTGGTTTCTTGACCAAGCCGAAAGAAACGGTTCAGTCACAGGTTTAGATGAAAATGAAGGCGAAGGAGAAAACACCATTAGTTTTGTGGGTTTTCATTATGTTGAAAATATTAGAGCTTTTTGAGCACATAGGCGAAACATTGTTTCGCATTCGGCGAAAAAAAAAGTTGGTCAATGTTGGCAACGATATTTTACGTACGCGTGTGGTGCGGTGGTCGGAGGCGCCTTGCAGCACAGATGGGATCAGTCCCCGCGCCCATGGTCCCCAAGCCTTCCATCACCCGGGGTCGGCAAATTGGTACCGGACTTGTCTGGGAGAATAGCAGCACTAGCTCAATACATCGAAGGCCACCAAGAGTCATTGTAAAGGTCAGATATGCATTCAATCCCCTCCAAACGATGCTTAATGAAGTCGAATGCATTGCACATCCCTCAGGGGTTGATCAGGGCCGAGAGCGTTATCTTTTATCCTTTAATTATATTTTGCATTGACTTGAGCATTAGTCATGTTGGCAGTTTTAAGTCACAAATGCGTTCTTAATTCACACTATTGCTTAAACTTCGCTAGCGTTTCTCCCTTTTCTCACTAGTTGCTTTGGGTATTTAGTCTGCTTGAGACGCGTGAGGCGCAGTGTTCGGAGGCGCCCTGCAACACATAGATAGAATCGATTTCGCGCCCATTGCCCACTAAGGCTTCCATCCCTCCAGGTTCGGCAAATTGAAAAGAAACATATAAAAAAACCAGACGTCTGGGAGGATAGCAGCACTGGCTCGATAAGCAGCACTAAACTTTTCTTCATTTTTCATTGTTAATTATGATAATATGACTGTTTAGTTGCTTAGTAGATACGGATAATTTGTTCGTTGTTGTTTTCGATCTTTTGTTCTTTAGTTACTTAGCTGACTATGCTTCACAGTATATTTGAGCTTTGAGAATACAAGCCACATTGGTTGGGTTTCCTTAAACTAAAATATGGAAATTCAAGGTTCGAACTGGTCGCGAATTACTTGGCCATCATGATGTGGTTACAGAATCTCCAACTGGATCGGGAAAAACAGCCGCTTAGCTTTCGCCACCTTTCCTTGTTCCTAAGAAGAATTTAGCGCTGTGTCTACTGATATCAACATTGTAGTGAGGTTATTTAACTACAGAGTTGATAACTTATGGAAGTTCTTTAGATTCATTCATTTTTTCCTGAAGTAGTGCCTGTCATCACTGCGGAAACAGTAGTGTTGCCAATCGTAATCCTTTAGATATGCAGTTATAGCATTGAAAAACCATTCTTTGTTTGAATCATAGAACGAACACAAGCTCTGGAAGCTCCTGCATTTTGTCAGAATTCTGGGTCTTTGTGGCTGAAATTAAAATTAATTCGGCATATGCAATGGTAAGCAATGTATACTGTAATGTCTTTGATTATTTAATTAGCATGAAATTGCCTCATATATTCACACCGATAGTTTTTTATGCAGTCGGAAAAACCTCAACTTGAAGCAGTGGTACCATCTCCTCGTGAGCTCGCAATCCAGACTGCTGTGGTGAATAAGCTTTATCCTTTGTTGTGTTGTGTGTTTATTGCTGTTCGATATTAGGCGGCTAGACCCTTTAAAACATGATTGAATTATTCGATCATGGTCGCTGTGGGTTGGATAAAGCTGGAGAAGAATTTGAGAAAGCTCAAAAATGGGTGCGTTGTCTCGCTGTTCTCGCATTTCCAATTTTTTCTAAGCTTGCCTTTTTTGCAGGTGATTGTGACTCCACGCCGTCGATTTCAACTTTTATCCATAGATAAAACTACTAATTTGCACCGCTCTCTAAAATCTGTTGAGGTACTTGTTGTGGATAAAGCGGAACGGTTCGATGAATCCCAGTTCGAAATACCGTGAGTGTGTGTTTCTTTAACAGCAATTTGGGAGGTTTCGATTGTGCTATGCAACACTGACCTCTATGCGACCGAACAATACCATGTACTCCCAACATTTGTGCTCACGGCTAGTTTTAGGATGATTGAAAAATAGTGGTCGATTTTGAACGGGAAATTTGAAAAGCTCTAATTGCTCTTAAATACAAATTTATTAAAGGAAAAAGGATAAAGCTCTCGGCATTGATCAATACCTGAGAGAAGCGCCATGCATTCAACTTCATTAAGCATCGTTTGGAGGTGACTGAATGCATATCTGGCCTTTACAATGACTCGCGGTGGCCTACCGATGTATCGAGCTAGTGCTAGTATCTACATGGCGACTATCTCCCTGCCATTGTTTCATTTCATGCAGCACCACTTAACGATGGTGAACGTTAAGTTTTCCTGCAGTCCTACAACTAGTTTTTAGAGGTGTAGTTCTGGTCATCGACTTCTAGTAATTGTGATCGATCGCTCATAGACCCCTTACGACGTTCTCACCTCTGCAATGAACTCTTCCGTGCATTTGCCTTTGGGAGACTTTCGTTGACCTATGCATTATTGACAATTCGAGTTGTCCCTGTTGCCTTTTACTGAACCAAAAACAGCGGTATTTTTATGACTTGAGAACATCATTGTACATTAAATGTTACAGAGAAGTGTCGCACGACAGTTGGTCGAGAAATAAGAATGAAAATTGCGTACATAAACAAAATATATAACAAATACCACTGAAATCTGTTTGTTATCTTATTATTTTCGTTTTCATTGCATCATTTTTGAACAGTCAGGCAATAGAACACATCTCGTTTCAAAGGGTATGTTGTCAAATGCGTGTCCCAGTTTCTGGTTCAAAACGTGGATCCAAACAGGAATAATCAACATGTGTTCAAACTGTTGAATTACACGAGGTTGATAAACAATTTTTATTTGGCTAGGGTTTCGACGTCTTCGTCTTGATCAAAGCCGATGATCCAAGTCGATGGTGCACAGTTGTTTGTCTTCTCAATGTGGCGTCTTCGTCGTCGTACCGAGACGGATTTTCCACAGTGAACATCTTTTATACAGGACGATTGTTGTTCTTATGACTCTGGTACTGATAATTTGTTTTTCAACGAATAATCCACCCTGCAACAGTCGGTAATATGCTAGCTAGCACACCACGAATAGCAAAACAAATTTCAAACCGACGTCATTCAACCTCTGTAGCAAAATAATCAACATGTTTTTAAATAGTCATGGATAGTCGTATCAACAACAATCGAACTTATAAAAAACCACTGCCGGGTGAGTGTGCCTCGTTCTCTCTGAATAGAATCCGTCTCGATACGACTACGAAGACACCACATTGACATTACGAACAACACACGTGGTCGGCTCTCATGAAGACGAAGGTGTCGAAATGTTAGCCGAATAAACTTTGCTATCAATCTCGAGTGTGCTCAACAATCTAAACACATGCCAATTATTTTGCTACCACGGTTGAAAGGTGGTAAGTTTGAAAACTATTTTGCTATTCGCTGTGGTTCGCTAGTTTTATGACCTCTGGACACTTAGTGGAGTCTTCTTTACTTATACAGCGAATAACACTCATTACCTTAGAGTGTCAATAAATACGACTATGGGGAATGTTTGGTGTTATAAGGACGGTGTTATCAGCAAAGCGAAGATGGTGTAACTGCCGACCGTCGATTTTCACTCCAATATTATTCCATTCCAATGTTCGCATGACGTTCTGGAGGGTGGCGGTAAATAATTTTGGCGAAATGGTACCGCCTTGCCTAACCCCTGTTTTGACGTCAATTTTAATATCGTTGTAGAATGGTGATATCTTGGTTGTGAAATTTTTTGTACAGCTCACGAAGAATCACTGAGTAGGGACCCCTTGACTATCAAGGGCTTCCAAAACTGCTACTATCTCAACTGATTCAAAGGCCTTCTGTAAATCGATGAAAGTGAGACAGAGCGGTGTCTTGCAGTAACTGCCACGACCGACTTTCTATTAACCTCGGCATTGATCAAGTGATTTTCTTCGTATTTTTGTTCAGCAAACGCGAGGTGTTACTATTCTTTGTTCACGATTAAGCTGATGTTTCGGCGGATTTCGCCTTCTTCAGAGCCTGGAAAGGTCAAGTTGATAGCAACTCACTCGGCCAGACGCCTCCATAACCGAACAAAGAAACTCCAAACCAAGATTTCAACCACTTTGAACACAGCTTTGCACACTCACCGCTTCCTATGAGGTTTCCACTAAGTATGTCACGTAGAGACCAACCGCACAGAAATCACGTGGAAGTATAATGTGCCCCTCACATCAGAAAAGCAGTTTTATATACTGCCCTATATCACACGTGATAATGAGGCATTCTTCTCTGCGGTTCATTTTCGGATTTCTGGAATTAATCCAGAGTGCCTCGAGAGTTTTTCGCGCCTGTGTTCTTGATTCGCGTGCGAGAATCGTGACACATACTTCGAAGTCGTCCCCGTTATGTCTCTGGGTCCTATGCGTGCCTAGCGGGGTATTCGGTCTATTTTTGCCGGCTAGGTGTTCTTTCATGCGGACACAGAGGGGTCTACCCGTTTCGCCAATGTATTCGTCACCACACGTCTTACAGGAGATCAGATAAACTATACCCGAGCTCATGCAATCACCGTCTCTACCACTGGGGCAAATTATGCAATTTTGAGTTGCACATAGACGGTCATATAGGCGGTTACGAACTAGCTGGCGNTATGTCACGTAGAGACCAACCGCACAGAAATCACGTGGAAGTATAATGTGCCCCTCACATCAGAAAAGCAGTTTTATATACTGCCCTATATCACACGTGATAATGAGGCATTCTTCTCTGCGGTTCATTTTCGGATTTCTGGAATTAATCCAGAGTGCCTCGAGAGTTTTTCGCGCCTGTGTTCTTGATTCGCGTGCGAGAATCGTGACACATACTTCGAAGTCGTCCCCGTTATGTCTCTGGGTCCTATGCGTGCCTAGCGGGGTATTCGGTCTATTTTTGCCGGCTAGGTGTTCTTTCATGCGGACACAGAGGGGTCTACCCGTTTCGCCAATGTATTCGTCACCACACGTCTTACAGGAGATCAGATAAACTATACCCGAGCTCATGCAATCACCGTCTCTACCACTGGGGCAAATTATGCAATTTTGAGTTGCACATAGACGGTCATATAGGCGGTTACGAACTAGCTGGCGCTTAAAATTACTCGGTGGTATTTCAACTACGCTCACCGAATTCGCTAAGCCCGCCCTTCTTAAGCAGCGTTTTATAGCTGTACTTATATCATTTGAGATGAAGGGTAGGATACCCTTGCAGTAGGAACCTTGCATTCGGACAGGTAACGTGTGGAGAGGCGAACCAGTGTTTTTACGAACACCTAATCTCGGGGCTGTTGCATATTGGAAGACGCCTAATTTTCACCCCTAACGGAATTGCTGGTTTTTTGAAATCAAACAATAATTTCACTATAACTAAAAAGACTTCGTGGGTTCTGAACATGAGAGAATGGTAAAAAATACGTTGTCCTATCGTTCCAAAGGTACGGATGATATTTATGGTATTATTTACTATATTTCGCTTAGTGCAAAAATCTCAGCATTATATACGATCTATTATATGTTGCTTTCGTCTCCACGGATCTCCCTCATATGAGGGATCTCGAGCCGGTTAGTCGCGAGGATACGTGGCGCGTCCCCAGGTGGCGGATAGAAGGTTAATCGCGGACCCAAAGCGACCATTGTTTCCCTGAGACGCAGGTGGATTCAGGGGATCGACTCCCTGTTTCTGCTGCGCTGATTTGGCACATACTTTCTGTATATGCTAGGCGTATTCATGCATGCATCTGTGGGTGCGTTCTTGCTTATGCGGATTGTATTGTACGAGTTAATTTGGCCAAAAGCCTGCAATCAAATAACTGGAAAGTATATGGGAGTCGGTTAGGAGTCCCCTCCAACAAATAAGCTCCATGTCCACTCCGGGAAATCCTGGAAAGCAGCCCATGAGTATGCCCAGCTCCAACGTTCAGAGCACAGCAAGGTATACATGGGTATCAAGGTGCTAAACACAGTAAAAAAAAAAACGGACCACATTCCCTTGACCCCGAAAGAGCCCCCAATTTCGCAGCGTTGGGTAGGACGAGTACGGAGAGGCTGCTAAAATCTCAGGGCCAATGGAAGATGCCTGGATTTCAAAGAACTATGGTGACGATCTGTACCTACAGTGCACGTACACTTGCATCCGAGTCCTCGATAGAAGACATGCTCATGCAAGCTAGAGGGATAGGGTACGACATGTTTATTTATATGATCTTATAAACTGATCTTCTTAAGCCGACGCGAGGTTGGTACAGGTTTTCGTTGTCGTTGTCGTTGATTTTGACGTTGTTGGTCAACGGCTGACGTTTCGGCGACTTCGCCTTCCTCAGAGCCTAGACGTATTTTATATTAGAATAATTTTACTATTCGGTAGAGAAAAGGTTAAAGTATTAATGAAGATCAAACTTTCAAATAGACGCCATTTCGAACAGAAAGGCCACTCACCGTGATGTTACGTGTGGGACTGGCCCACACGTAGTTCACGTGGGGTCGCGAGCAAGACAAACCCGGGGGTCAAAATATCATTTCGAAACATGGCGCCAGGTCACGCGTGATAGTGAGGCATTCGTGTTTGCGGTTCATCTTTGGATTTTTGAAGTTTTTCCAAAACGCCTCAAGAGTTTTGCGCATTGATGTTTTTGATTCCTGCGCTAGGATCCGCACATTCACTTCAAAATCATAGCCGTTGTGCTTCTGTGCCCTATCCGTACCTAGTGGAGTGTTTAGACGGATTTATGCGGACACAAAGTGGTCTACCAGTTTCCCCGATATATTCCTCGCCGCATGCATTACATTAGATCAAGTATATTATACCTGAACTCATGCAATCCCCGTCTCTCCCGTTAGGACAGATCATACAGTTTTCTGAGCTGCAC